AATACTGTGTCTAAATACAGCCGTTACCTTTATCCACTTTTACCCTTCTTATGCACAAGCTGGAGTGAGTCCAGGACTCTGGAATATTTGACCAAAACAAGGGTATCACAGATCAGCTGCAGGGATGTATATATTACAGCCTCATGTCTGCCTTCCGCTATGAGGCATGCAGGGATTTCCTTCCACTGTTAGCCCTGCCATTTTCAAACATTAACATTGTTTGGGCTTTACCTTGACCGAGAAAAACAACTTTCATCAGCAAGGCTGTATTTATTCATTGCCTGAAGAGGATATCCTTCCAGTTCCATTATATATTGGCCACCTGCTATGGACCTTGCAAGAGTTACACACTCTGTTCACTCAAGAGCTTCCACAAACCTTTGATGCAAGAAATACTGCTTCCATTTCCAGTGTTGGTCACTTGCTTAGGGCTGTCAGGACTATGATCAAGCAGGAAAGATGGGGGCTCAAGCACTGGAGCATGCTCAGTTGCGTACATACAGAGACGCTGAGAAATCTGAGCTGCCAGACTCCAGCATAACCATTAATTTGGCAACAGCAGTGAAAAGGTTTTGAGAGTAGTTGAATGGCAAATCCCCATCAGCAAGACAGCCTCATGCACAAGCTTCAGAGCCATCGTGCAGTAGTCACCTTCCCAAACCAGCAGTACTACAACAGTCCTTCCAATGCCCCAGCAATGCCACCTCATTAAGTGGCCCAGGTGGGGATAACTGAGAAGTATAAATGTTAACTCTTGGCCAGGAGCCTGCTGTCAGTGCTTCCTCAATGCACAGGCTGTCTGTGAAGCTGCTACCAAACCACCAGCACACAACAGTCGAGCAGCCTCTTGCCACTGTTCTCACCAGATTCTGGGCAGTCCATTCCAAAAACACACATCATAACATGTAGCAGTTCCAACCTCCACTGCCAACAAAGTCCATTGTCCTAGAAGGAACCTTCTATGAAAGGGCAAAACAGGACAAAGAGATAAGTCCATTAGCACCAAAAAATCAACCGACAGGCCTTCACACACTAGAGGTCTGCCTGTTCACTGAAACACTGAGGTCTCTACTATTGTATTCAGTGCCTAGCTGCATTTTTAACGCTCAGGCTCCATCGTATGATGGAAGCACATATGTTCATGTGGACATCTCACAGACCATAGGCCACCACACCCAAGTAGCCAAGGACGTTGCAAGTATCACAGATGGACTCAAGTTCATATTATATAAAAATTAAACAGCTCTCAGACAATTAGTGAATAAGGAGCTTGCCAGACATTGTACAGGAAGATTGTGAGGGTCCTGAAATATCTCCCTCTAAAAATTGAAAACGACATGAAAGACTGGCCAGAATAGTTTAACAGTTTTTAATGCCTCACTGAGGTTTGCCCTATTTTGTTTTTATATGACAACAGCAAAGGTCCCTTCATGCCCTGCTAGCACAGAGGATTTAGTGAGAAAGATCCTCATTGGTTCACAGAAGACCCATGTTTTGCAGACAGCTCAAGAGTCCAGGCACTAGCAGCCCAGGGCCTGATGGAATAAGCTATGCAGATGGAAATAATTATTTAGGAGGGGAAAGACTCCTGCAGGAATGGAGCAACATCTCACTAAAACTGAAGCCTCTCACCAACACATTCCAGACTCCTGGAGTAATCTGCTTTGGGGAATATGCTTTAAACTACATCAGCTTTGTATTTCTTTCTCCAAACTTCACAAAACATGCTCCCCTGCAAACTGACCTAATGGTCTTGCCAAACAGCAACACATACCAAAAAGTTCATAAATATCTGAATCTAAAACCTATTTAGAGACCTAGCTTTTCAAGCAACAAGTTCTGATTTCAGCCAAGCTTTTCACTACACAACACACCTGGGAGGGTTTACCCACACCATGAATGATGCTGCAGTCAGTGGCTTCTACCTAAAGTCCGTGGCATGAAATAACAAATAAATCATACAAGCCATATTTGATATGTAGAATATCAAACTGAAGCACCTTATATAACTCAAAATCATGTATCTTAGCAGGCAATAATTGTTTAGAAATATCAAATTAAGGGCAGTCTTTTCAAGCCAGATGCATAAAGAATATTTCATATAATGTGTTGCAGGAGAAAAATAACTCCAGCAGGTTACAATTAGGTCTCACTGCCATATGGATTTTACATCTGCAGCAGGAAGGCTCAAACACCACGTCACAACTAAAGCAGTTTTACGTCTCCAACCGAAAGCACTTAAACTGCTTGGAATAGAAGCATATGGGCCATAACATCCCAAATTAAGCAAACACTTTGCTGAACTGAGACATACAAAGCTAGGATATACCATATTCTTAGTCATACTTGGTAGCCTCTCACTTTTAAAGGATAAAGTTTAGTACTCTCCTCACTCAACCAAAGCAGAAGACCCCAGTGCAAGTCACACAGTGGTTTTTAACCAGGCACTAAAGGGTTGGGAGGTCCTTTACTCCCATGCAGAGAAGGCCACTGTTTCCCTCAGCAGTTTACATGTGCTACCACAAGAACATGTGAAGGGCTCGTTAGGGCACCATCTCATCCAACCTCCTTACAAGCAGGGACAAAACAGAACTCAGGCCAGGATGCTGAGAGGTTTGGCCAGTTGGGTTTTGTAAAGGGCTGAGGTGACGCTGCATCTGTGGGCCCCCATTTCAACATCTCCCTGCACTCACAGAGAGTGGTATTTTTCCTTAAGGGGAACTGGACCATCACCCATTTCAATTTATAAAGCTTTGACAAATGACACAATTCTCCAACCAACTAATTACAGATGCTATGAACTGGAAAACCACACCCACGGGTTTTTCCTTTCAGCATCAATAACACCACCTCAAAACCCATGTCTTGGTTAGACAAGAGCTGTGGTGCTGCTGCTGCACCCTCTTGGGGCACAAAGGACCAGGAGCCAAATCTTCAACATTATTTTTCTACATGCAGCTGGATCCAAGAACCCCAAATTCCTCTTTACTAAAACCAGATGTCAGCCAAGTTAAATCATCCCATGACTCCTCCAGGAGAAGGATGTAAACAGCCACAGCTCATGCAGATGTTACTGAGAGAGGCCCTGCTGACACGTTAAGGGATTCCAGAGTGCTGTGAGACCTTATCCTTATGCTCTGACATACTACTTTCAGACATGTTTGTCACTTAAATACATCAGAATGTATTAAGGCACTGGAGTTTATACTAAAGTTTGGGTCTTTTACCAACTTGTTCCACAGTTTTGAGTTCAGAGGAGAAGAAAACTGGTACCTACATTTTTCAGTGTACAATACTTCCAAATAGTCTTTAATATTCAGCAAAATCCAATCCTGTAACATGCCTGCAACATAAATGCTTCACAAGTAAGATGAGGAAAAAGACAGTGCAAAACATCACAAAACGTCCATGGTACAGGTAGGTGCATAGAAATGCAGGCTGCCCCCTCCCAGGAGGCTTAATCTCAGCCAAAAGAGACTATCAAAACACAGCTCTCACCACAAAAAAACAAAACAAAACAAAAAACCCCACCCAAACCCAACAAAATGAACAAACAAAAAACACACAAAAAAACTTTCAAAAAAGTATTTGTAACTTTTGTAACAACTTTGTATCTATTTGTAACCAGGGCAAACAACCACACTGGCAGGAGCTTTAAAACAGTACCTGCAAGCTCTAACGCTCCTGCTGATGCCCGGAAAACAGCTTTTGCACATAGCAGCTAAGGGGAATTAAAGCTCACTGATGCTATTCAATGCTTGCAGATGACAAGGCAGCTGAAAGGTCATCTTCATCCACACTGTGAGCTTCAAATGCTCAGCAAAGACAAGCATAGGGCAGGCATCACAGCTAGATCAAGGGAAAGAAGTATTTTAACAAAGGTGGACCACAACAGAAAGCCTACAGGGCTCAACCTGAGTCCCTACATCTGCAGATCAGGACCCATTCACCAGGTCAGACTCAATCACCAACCTCTTGCAAGAGGTATGGAGCCACAGCAGAGGCAAAACAGCCTTCCTATGCTACTTTTAGCCAAATCGCCACACAGAAGTTTTATTTTCAACAGGTAAATACTTAGTCATGCATTACAACTCAGCTCAGAGAAGGGGAAAACAGGTTTAAACCACTCCTGCCATCAGCATATCTGTGGTACTGAAGAACTTTGCAGGAACTGCTAATCCGTGGAGTAGGTTTCTCAAGCAGGTTTCACATGCTGGCACCAGACTCGCTGCTGTTACAGTGCCACTGCAAGCAATGGCCAGCCCAGCCAAACCAAAGCTATTCCAAGAGTATTTGCACAGACAAAAACAACTCAAAGCGTATACTTTGGTACCACCAGGCTTTAAGACATCACTATGCGATACAAGAAGCAATATTCTACTAGCCCTTTAGGTGTTTTACTGACTGACCTCAGTTCATCTACTCCCCTGCAGTGATAACCTCATTAAGACATTTTTAACTTGAACGGCAGCATTTTGGCAACTGCCTCAAGATAATGAGCTTTCTGATTGAACTGAGATTAACAGAGAGACCAAAGTTTTCCCTGCCCGTGGCAGGGGATTGGAACTGGATGATCTTTAAGGTCCCTTCCAACCCAAAGCAGTCTGTGATTCCACATTCGAGCAGCCTGAGCAAGCGAAACCCGCAAAGAAAGGAGGCATCCCCAGCTGTTCAGCTGCAAAGTGAGGTCCTTCGTGGCCGCACGTGCAAGTCCGCATGGACCGGGTGGGAAAGGAAGAGAAACGCTCAGCTACCAGCGAGCGCTGCTCCGGGGGGCGCTTGGACAGCTCAGGGATGCGGCGGCTGCGCCGGAACAAACCGCCCCGCTGCTCGCAGCGCCTCCGGCGGCAGCACCCGCGCCCGGGACACGGCCCGTCCCCGCCGCCGAGCGCCCCCCTACCTGCGGGGCAGCGCCGCGGGGGAGCAGAAGCGGAGGCGCGGACCGGTCCTTGCGTCCTTTGTGTCCGAGGGGCTTTTCCTACGTAAAGGACCTGCGAAAATAAAGCCGCGGACAAGCTCTATTTAATGCACACAGCTCCGGACGGGTATTGGGACCTGTGGAATTCAGGGGAGGAGGAGGGAAAGACGAGCAAACATAACGAAGGCACGCTTCATCATCAGTGCAGGCGGCTACTGTCACACAGCCAGCCTTGTGAGGGACACTGCTTCACGAGGTGAGCAGAGGTATCTGTCACGAGTGGTAACGTGCTCTCTGGGATGTGACCTCCTAATTCAGGTCCTCCTTAAACAAAGTTTGTTGAATGCGTGCACAGAGCTGCTCTGTTCATAGCCCAATGACTGGATAAACCCTTAGGCCACAAAACTACGGCTCATCCCTGTCCCACCAACCACAGTGTGGTCCCTTAAATCAAGTTGTTGTCAAGTGCCTCCAAGCGGTAACCTAAACTCACCACAGCCTGCCAGCTACGCTGAAAAACCAAGCCCATTCCAAACAGAAACAGAAGAAATGCATGCTCGGTACCTGCGAAGGGCTTAATTATTTCTTGTTAATTGGAGGTAAATGTGTTTCGTTTCTTAGAAACTTTGTTTCCTACTTTGAGAACTGACAAGTTGGAGATCAGGAAAGTGCAAAGTGCGGCATGAGTAATCACTGAGCTGTACTGCATGTAAGCTTGGGTAAGAACGGCTGGTGAGAGCGCTTGCCTTGATCTTGTTTGAAATGGAAGGTTAATAGTGGTGAGAGCATTACTAGTCTTTACAAAGGAGGAACTCGTCCTTCTGTGAAGCGGGAGGGGAGCAGAGCACATACCCAAGCACTGCCCAAGAGGCTGGATGCTGTCATCCATTTAATATTTAATCAGTCAATACTGTGCAGAGGTGGTTCTCCGACCATCACTGCGCTCCAGTTTCCTCCCCAAGACTGAAGCCAACAGCCCCCTGCTCTTCAGCCTCAGGGAGCCCAGGGTTTTCACAAGTTTTTGACTCAGCAAAACAAACAGCTGAGCCATGTAGATAATCAGAGAGGATGGCAGCACTTGAATCCTCAGGACGTTAGAGATCTGTAGCAACTGGCAGACAAAGTTCCAGATGAGAGAAGAAAGCATGGTACACAATAGCTGATGAAGAAAAAGAGGAACAGAATTGTCATGGCAGTGACATTTTTAGGAGGTTCAGCTTTCAGTCTGATATAAATGATTTGAGAGAAATGCTTGTTCCCTTCCCTCACCCACCCAAGCAAGATTTTCAGTATGAGTATTAAGTTCTACAAGAGACAAGTTTAAATACCAGTTCTTCAAGCTGCTGTGTTCAAATCCTTACTTGTATGCACAAAGAGCTCTAGAAGAACCAAATGGTACCTTAGGTAAGTCCAGGCTCATTCTTAACATTGTTTCTCTACCCTTTGATCAACAGTTTTAAACAACAGTGTTACTACACTCACCTGGTACTGCCACGGTGGTGCTAATGGAACCAAAAATCTTCTGACTTGAGAAATTACTGATTCCATGCTAAGGCTCAGCTTCAGGGTTAGTCAAACAACTGAAGCAATTTAAGGTGATACCAGTCCTTCACTATCCTGGCCTAACAAAGGTTACCCCTCCAGCACAACTGGTGGAAGTAAATGCGAGTACCTCAGTTGCTGCAATTCAAAAATCCCAGCAATGTAAATGAGGAGACAGGACTGTGAATAGTGACAGTGGAGGCACAGGCCAGCTTTCCCTTCTGAGACCCTTCTGCAAAGGAACATACAGTCAAGGCACAGGGAACAAGACGACACACAAGACACTAAGCTCCTCCATGGCTTCAAATAGATCTTCTGGGATTTGTGTAAAGCCTAAGAGGATTGGGACTGTCATGTCTGCCAAGTGACTCCTGGCTTCAGCTCTTATTAAGTAAGTGAAATACATTTTTAGTCACATAGTCCACTGTAAGAAATCTAAAGCTGCTTTTAAGAGTACACAATGTCAGCTAATATCAGCCATACGTACCAGGAAAGTTTCTGTATGCAGCTGAGTTGAACTTCTTCTTTTAGAGAAACAGGTAACAACTGTCACTGTTTCAAATACAATTCTCAATTACTTTAAAAAATATTTATTCATATATTTATACAGTACACACAATTTTGTGGAATTCTGGGTTACCTTCACTTTGTCTACGACAAGAGTAATTCCAAATTGGGAGGACAAAAAGAAATTCCTTGTTAGTCATTAAGCAAGCAGAAACTGATCTTGCAGCTTTCTCTTACCCAAGAAGCCAGGGAGTCAGGCAGCGGTGGAAAAAAATCAGCTGAGAAACAAAAGTGGCAGACACACAAAGAGGTAGTCTGGTGACCCTACTCACCATCATGGTGTTACAGAAATTGCTCTTCTCAATATGGGAATATTTTATCTTCTGGCTGTGAAACCAGCTGTCTGAGATTATAGCAAAAAGACTTGGCTTTTGGCTTTCCGGATTTGAACTCAGATAAACAGGCTTAGACCTCAACTTTCCTGCAGATGATTGCACCTCCTCTTCCATTTCTATACTAGATGTGTCATTCTGGTTTTCTTCCTCTGTTGGTTCAACCTCAGATTTAGAATCAGGCTCATCAGAAGACTGTTTGTTTACTTCTTCTGCACTGGGCATCTGTGCTAGAAAGAGGTTTAAAAAGGACGTGTAAAATACTTGCACATGGCTTCAATCTAGCTGCCAGCCTTGCATGTTCTATCTAGGAGCTCAGCAAGGTTCTTCTGAATCTTTTTCAGCTGAAATAAAGGATTTCCAAACCCAAGTAGGCATTAAGAGGCCTGTACAAGTGTTTGACTTTTACTAATTTTCTTAATCAGCAACTATGTTAAAGGAGCTGAAACACGCACCACTTTTTACTTGTGCCTGCTGTAAACTAGCATAAAATAAGCAGATAACTGAATTAATTAGGAAACTATTAAAAAGGACACCATTTTAATTTTCTCTCTTAAGCGTGACTGAGAAACATGATAATGTTCTAATCCTGTAAACACACTACTATGTAAAAATCTAGTAATGGGCTTAGTTTTATTGATTCAAATGGAATTTAGAGCATTTACAGAAATTGTTGGAGGTGTGGTGCTAATAACAGTCACTATAGGGCCAGAAAATGTGAAGGTAAACGTAGTTAAGCATAACCTGAAAGTCTTATTTAAAACATCAAGAGATTCCAGAGTTACTCTGCCCAGGCAAAAAGCTGACACTGAAGCGTACGTGGCATAGCTATCCTTTATCTATGCAAAATAGGTATTTTATTCTGCTTTTCAGATGTGAGCAGTAAGCCATGCCTGTGCTGCTCAGGGTAGCTTGCACACTGCCCAGCCTCTTGTAACCTGTACCTTCTAATTACTGTTCTTGGTTAGCCACAAGGGCACATGTGAGAGTGTAGAGGGAAGATACTTCACTACTAAAGGAAGCAGAGCAGTTAATAGCATCAGCAGTCTGCTAAACCTGCAAAATGGGAGCTGAAAGTAAAAAATCCATGGTGAACACATATGCAGGATGGGTAAGGAGGAAGGAGTACAAATCATTACTGAGGTGAGTACCTCCTGCTCTGCTGTGCCTCACTGTGTGACCTATCACAGGACTGGCTACCACATTATTAAGAATAGAGGGCACCAAATAAAGTTAAAGCTTGCTAAAGTAAAATTCTAATTTTAATTCTAATTTTTATTTTTCTTTGTACAGCTGTTCTGCAAAGGCAGAATCACTGTTTTTGAACTTAGGTTTGATTCCTCAGCCAGAATGCTTCAGTATCAGAGCAAGCTAGTAAGGCTTTATCCTCCTGAGTACATCAACAAGCCTATTATTAACCTAAACCAAAGCCTGTTATCGGTTACGGACATATTAGAAATAAGAATCAGTGATGGACAGGAAAGAGGAGCAAAATACACAAATAAATGAAGATGCATGTCCTGCTCCCTCCACAGATTTTCTATCAGTACTGATAAAAGAATCCCTTAACAGCTCCTGGTACCACCCCCCACCCCCAAAAGAGAATTAGAAGAGAACTGTAACGAAAGTGCACAAAGTTAGAGGGTGAGGTTAGCTTTCTTAAATTACCTGTGAGAAGAAGGGAGAGGGTAAGGAAGAACAGCAGCAGCAGCTTGTCTTATAAGCATTTTTAACAGAAAAGCGTAATAATTTGAATTTGCTACCAACAGTACTAAAAAAGCTCTTTACTTTCCTTCTGTGACAAGTGGCATTAGTCTAAAAATAGCTAGCAGAGTGCTTTGAACATGAAGCATGCTGGAGCATTTTATCTGATCAGCTGCAGAACTTACCTTCATTAAGGAGAAACTGTAGCCAGATAATCATTAGGATCAACAGCATTACAAATGGCAAACAAAACCAGAAGAAAAGCAGAGTAAAGGTCAGCTCATTCACCAAAGGAACCACAGGATACTTCATTGCTTGCTTCAGGTTACACTAAGTTTAGACTAGCTTGCCTGCTCTGCTTTATCTTTTAATAACTCTCATTGCATCACTGTGTTAATCACAAGCAGACAGCTGATATACTCTGCATGGTTAGCAAAAGGGACAGCAACTGAGAGAACATCTGATTTGATTGTCCTTCTTTGGCTGCTATTTAAAGGATAAACACAAGCTAGGAAGCTCTCAAGGCTTATGTTAAAATAATAGTTAAAGGTCTGTTTATACAAGGGAGATAACCAAGTGCTTCAGCTACTCTGAAACTAGGTAGCCAAGGTTGCTTTTGAAAAGTTGGTAAAACAGGATCAACCCTGCAGTGACGGCTATCATAGAATCATGGAATGATCTGGGCTGGAAGGAACTCAAAGCTCATCCAGTTCCAGCCCCTGCCACGGGCAGTGACACCTCTGTATTTTAATTGCCTTTCTAGCTCCCTTCCCTGAAGAAAGGCGAGTTAGCATGTTTTACAGGATATGTGTCTAATGTATTGCTGAATAATTAAGCAGTTCAGTGGCGATCAAAGTAGGAACTGACAGTATGACTTCAGTAACTTGACATTCATCAGAATGTTTCTGCTTTAATAAAATAAAGCCATTATCTATCACCTCACAGGTGGCTGTTTAGCTAAATTAATCCTTTCTGTAGCTCTTGGTACCCCTCAGAAGAGAGCAGCTATGTTAAGTGCACATTATAAGTTGCATGCAGTTAATTCCTTGCTTGTGTACCTGTGTGTTTTTATGCAGTGGCGGCAGTCCCTTGAAATTAGACTTTTAATCCCCAAGATCTAAACGAACTTTGCGAATTTTGGTTAACTCACGTTACTAACGCTTTAGTATCGCTGTGTGATAAGAGCAGCTATTAACCCTATTCTGTGCCTTGGGTAAACAAGAAAAGCCATCAACGCCCTGAGCCTCGACAAGGCTGAGTACCTGCAGCCGCACTTTCAGCAGCGGGGGCTGCGTCTCGGTGGCGCTTCTGACCACCAGGGGCAGCGGCAGCAACAACGGATCCCAACCCGGCAGCGGTGACCTCAGGTCGGGGCTGGCTCGGCCCGCCCTGCCCCCGCCGTGCCCCGCGGCCCGGGGCAGGCTCTGGCTCTGGCTCGCCTCTCGTGCTCCGCCCCGGCCGCAGGGGGCGCCCTTCGTGCCGCGGCGCGGGGCCAGCGCACGCCGCGGTTGCTGTCCCGGCCGCAGCCGCTCGCTCCCCCGAGGCCGGTGTCAGACTTCCGGTGAGAGGCGGCGGGGTCACAGCGCGCCGAGGCCCCTCGCCCCGCCCGGAACGAGTGTCGGCGTCCGCGTTCCCGGCCGGAGGGAGCCGGAGTCGCACCATGGCGGCGGCCTCGCGAGTGTTCGGCTTCCGCGACGTGCGCTGGGCCCCGGACCCGGTGCTGGACCCGGGCGCGGCTGTGCGGACGCCGCAGCCGGTGCCGCTGGTGATAGACAACGGCTCCTTCCAGACGCGGGCAGGCTGGGCCTGCGCCGACCCCGCCGTCCCCGCCGAGCCGCTGCTGCGGTTCCGCTCGCTGGCGGCGCGCAACCGCGGGGCCCGCGGCGGGACCGGAGCCGAGACGCAGGTGGGCAACGACCTGGGGAGCCCCGAGCCCCTGCGCTGGCTGCTCCGCTCGCCCTTCGACCGCAACGTGCCCGTGCAGCTGGAGCTGCAGGAGCTGCTCCTCGACCACGTCTTCCAGCGCCTCGGCGTCAGCTCGCAGGTAGGGCCGGGCGGGGCAGGTTCTGGAGCCCTGCCGGGGCGGGGGGCAGCGGCGGGTTGCGTGGGTGCGGGTTCCGGAGCGTCCCGGGGCGCTGCGTTGCCCCCTCCTGGCAGACACGCGGCCCTGGGCGGCCTCCTGCTGTGGTGATCCTGGCCCGGCGCGCCCCGGGGGTGCCGTTTGAGCTCCGCTGTTCTCGGAGCTTCATAGCTTTGTAATAAAAGGAGAGTGGGACGCTAGAGCTACGGGACGAGAGGTTTGGACTGCAGCATCTTGTCAGGCTGTGGCCAAGAGCCAGTGTCCACGGCTGGTTTTTGAGAGGGACGTTAAAGATTGTTGGGTTTGATTATTTGTTTCGTATCCCCAGGAGGACAGAGAGTTGCTCCTCAGATCATGAAGACTTTTGCCTTTTTGAGCTTTGCCTGGTGCTCAGCTGCTTTCCTCCAGTTGTCACATGTGCTTCACCTTCTCAGTGCATAGATTTACATTTTTAATAATTTGCATATGCTTTAAAAATCCATTCTCCTCCACCTTTAGGAGTTTATTATTTGGTTGAATGAACATTGGAAGCCTTGATATAGACAAGGGCTCTTTTTTGCCCCCTTTAGCACTAGATATAATTTAACTTACATGATTTATAACCTGCACAGAAAACCCTTTCCTGTTGCGGTTTGGAGGAATCCTTGCTGGTGCTTAAAGGAGAAGCAAGGATAAGTATCCCTGGATATCAAAGGCGGTGATCCTGCTTCTCTACTCTGCTCTCATGAGACCCCACTTGGCGCACTGTGCAGTTCTGGTGTCCCCAGCATAAGGACTGTTGGAGCAAGTCCAGAGGAGGCCACGAGGATGATCAGGGGCTGGAGCACCTTCTGTATGGAGACAGGCTGAGAACACTGGAGCTGTTCAGCCTGGAGAAGAGAAGGCTGCAGGGAGACCTCAGAGCAGCTTCCAGTGTCTGAAGGGGGGCTACAAGGATGCCAGAGACGGTCTTTTCATCAGGGGCTGTAGCAATAGGACAAAGGGTGGTGGGTTCAAACTGAAACAGTGGAAGCTCAGGTTAGATATAAAGAAGATGCTCTTTACTGTGAGGTCTGGCACAGGTTGTCCAGAGAAGTGGTAAATGCTCTATCCCTGGTAGTGTTCAAGACCAGGTTGGACAGAGCCTTGGGCTCTTGGGGTGAGGTGTCCCTGCCCATGGCAGGGTGTTGGAACTAGATGGTATCAAGGTCCGTTCCAATCCTAAAGATTCTATGGTTTTCCCTTCATACCTTTATTATTTTTCTCTTCTCCCTTACAGGGTTGTGTTGATCATCCAATCGTTCTGACAGAAGCAGTATGCAATCCTCTCTATTCGAGACAAATGATGTCAGAGCTGCTCTTTGAATGTTACCAAGTGCCGAAAGTGTCCTATGGCATAGATAGCTTGTACAGTTTTTACCGAAACAGAAGTCAGAACTGGCGCTGCAGTGGTTTGGTGATATCTTCAGGTTATCAGTGTACCCACATTTTGCCAGTCTTGGAAGGCAGGTGAGTGAGTTCTTGGTGTGCAGCCCTTCTTTGTCAGCCGTTGACTCTTCAAGTGATGCAGATACCCTTTCCTCTAACATTCAGTATTCCAGCTCCTGCAGTGGAAGTTCTTATCAGGGCTTTATACTGATGAGTTAAAACTAGGTCTGTGGATTTTGCTGAGTTCTGTTGAATTTTGAATTGAAGAAGCAGTGCTGGCCCTGTACATGTTGTATGTTTAGTTATTATTCATGTGTAGATCTTTACTTGCAAAAGTAGAAGGGGGTATCTACTCCAAGTAAGATCAGGCATTAAAAAAATGTATCCCAGAATGGTTTGGGTTGAAGGGACCTTAAAGCTCATCTGGTTCCCACCCCTGCCATGGGCAGGGACCCCTTCCACCAGAGCAGCTTGCTCCAAGCCCCTGTGTCCAACCTGGCCTTGAACACTGCCAGGGATGGGGCAACCACAGCTTCTCTGGGCACCCTGTGCCAGTGCCTCAGCACCCTCCCAGGGAAGAGCTTCTGCCTAAGAGCTCATCTCAGTCTCCCCTCTGGCAGGTTAAAGCCATTCCCCTTGGCCTGTCCCTACAGGCCCTTGTCCAAAGCCCCCCTCCAGGTCTCTTGTAGTCCTTTTAGGCACTGGAGCTGCTCTAAGGTCTCCCCTTGAGGAGCCTTCTCTTGTCCAGGCTGACCCAGCCCAGCGCTCTCAGCCTGGCTCCAGAGCAGAGCTGCTCCAGCCCTCGCAGCATCTCCGTGGCCTCCTCTGGCTTCACTCCAGCAGCTCCACATCCCTCTTGTGCTGCTGCCCCAGAGCTGGATCAGGACTGCAGGGGTGTCTCCCCAGAGCACAGCAGAGGAGGAGAATCCCCTCCCCGACCTGCTGCTTGCATTCTGGGGGTGCAGCCCAGCACACAGGGGGAGTTCTGGGCTTAAAAGCACACTGAAGGTATGTCATGGTCATGAAATATTGCAGAAGTTAAAGGAAATACTTTCGGCTCCACTAGCCATCACTTGCCTTCTAAAAAATGAATGTTTCCTTGCTGTAGCCAAAATTATTTAATGCTTTTTTTATTATTATTTAAAGCAGAGCAGAGCCTTTCAGAAAGTATTTGCAGTAAACAAAGCCATGATTATGCTTGTTGTCTGAGAAAAGCAGGTGTATTAGATCCTCTGGTAACTGAATCTTGAAATATTTGGGAATATTCATGTCTACTTGACAGTATCAGAAAGTAAATAGCCCCAGGGGAAGCAGGAGGTCTGTTTTATGCTGAACTTGTGGATCTCTCCACAGTCCTTTGTGTATCTTTGCATTTTCAGACTGGATGCTAAAAACTGCAAACGCATTAATCTTGGAGGGTGTCAAGCAGCTGTCTATCTCCAACGCCTCCTTCAGCTGAAATACCCGGGGCATTTTGCTGCCATCACTCTTAGTCGCATGGAGGAAATACTGCATGAGCATAGCTATGTTGCAGAGGACTATATAGAAGGTAAAACCAGCTGTAAATTGCCACTAGGTAGTGCTCACCCAAACTTAGTTTTCTCTTCTGTATCTCTTGTTCTCAAGTTGGCTAGCATTCTGGCAGAAATACTCTACTACTGTTTTGCTTTCTTTATAACTTTCTGGCAATTACCTCATGGTAGATTACAGTTTCAACAAGAGTTTCAAATTTAACATTAAGGTAGAAACAAAATTGAATTACAAAAAAAAAAAGCTGTATGAGTTCGAATTTCTCTGTGAATAAAAACTGTGATTATTTCAGAGAAAAAGAATTTAAAATGAGTTTGTTTTGTTAGTTATGCTTCCAACAGAACATTAAATTTCCTAGGATGATTCCAGCATCTGAGTGTGTTTCTTATCTGCTTTAAGGTTTCCAAATTGCAGAGGACAATTCTCATGGCTTTTTGTAAATTAAAGAAGTTTTAAAAATTTCCATGGTAAATGTAATCATAACTAGTGCCTGAAGAAAAGTGTTTTCTTAAATTTTTCACTTATGGAAGAGCCTGCAGAAATCCTTAGACATGTATGAAAACTCGCCCTTACCTGGGAAGAGAGAAGATTTTGGTGTGCACTTCCCACTCTGGTATGCAGGAGATCAGAGCATTGAGAACCTTGGGAACTGGGTATGTGGCTTGGTGGTAGTGCTCTGACGGGGGAGCTAAACACTGGAGCAGCTGGCCAGAGGTGACAGAATCCTAGGCTGGACTGTTGCCTTCTTTCTTCCAAGTCTGAGCTTAGCGTGGCTTGCATGCAATGTATAAATTGTTGTTTTCTGCCTGGATAAACTGTTATTTTGCTTTCAAAACATTTAGAGCTACGGAAGTGGCAGTCCCCAGAGTACTATGAGAACAATATGCACAAGATGCAGCTGCCTTTCTCTAACAAACTGCTGGGGAGCACTCTGACATCAGAGGAAAAGCAGGAGAGGCGGCAGCAGCAGTTGCGTAGACTTCAAGAACTCAATGCACGTCGTCGAGAAGAGAAGCTACAACTTGACCAAGAGAGGCTGGACAGGTTACTGTACGTACAGGTAATCAAGGCAGAGTTTTCTGTGTTGTCTTCTGGGAGGAGGGCAGGCTGCCTTCAGAGCCTTATCAGAATGTCATGCAGCACTGTAAAGAATCATAGACTCGTACAGCCGTTTGGGTTGGAAGGGACCTTAAAGCCCATCCAGTTCCGAACTGCTGCCCCGGGCAGGGACACCTTCCACTAGAGCAGGTTGCTCCAAGCCCTGTCCAACCTGGCCTTGAACACTGCCAGGGATGGGACAGCCACTGCTTCTGTGGGCACCCTGTGGCAGCACCTCAGCACCCTCACAGGGAAGAACTGCCTAAGAGCTCATCTTAATCTCCCCTTCTAAAGCTACAACTGTTCTGTGTGTTTTCTGATAGAAGCTTTTTAAGCTTACTTGCAGGATAAAAGGGAGAGGTTACTGATGCAGAGGATGCTGTCAGGTTCTGAGCAATTCTTTTGTGAACTATTTTGAGTGCTTCCAGAGCATGCCCACCATAATATCTGGTGATGAAGGCAAAGTGTCTGTACATGCACAGTTGACAGACAGTTGGTTGCCCTGTCATCACAGCTAACTCTGTCTGTAGGAACTTTTAGAAGATGGTCAGATGGATCAATTCCACAAAGCTTTGGTGGAGCTGAACATGGACTCTGCAGAAGAACTTCAGTCTTACATTAACAAATTGAGTCTGTCTGTTGAACAAACCAAGCAGAAAATCCTACAGGCGGAAGTCAGTATTGAAGTAGATGTCGTGGACAGCAAGCCAGAGGTACGGTGTTTTCACCAAGTTAATCCTCCTCTTATGTCTTGAGAGATTTAAGTTTCTACACTTGAAAATGTGCCCTTTCAGATTCTGACTGATGAACTAAGCTTTTCCTTTAACACACTGCAACTCATTGTTAATTTGGCAACTGCTTCTCTCTTTTCCAGCTTTCTTATGCAGGTACAGAAAATAACAGTTCCATAGGCCTAAGATCAGTAACCCTTGTGCTGGTCTGCACTGTGCTCTGATACATACATTTAGAGTTTTATTCCATAGAGTTCTAAGCAAAATCTCTAGGCTTCCTGACAGTAGTTGAAGTATAGCTATATGAAATCAATAAGTTGCCTTAAAAATTTCTTGCACATCTTTAAAGATTTGGAGGAGACAAGAGAATAGTTCTGGTTACTTAAGCTTGACTTGCTAGGAGGTTGTAAATGCAGCAGCTAGCATAATGGTTTTGTTCATACTTTAAACCAACCTCTAGCTTCTTTTGCATTAATTTTGGTGAAATAAGTGGGCCTGGTATGTTAAAGATTTTTTTTCTCCACCACAAGTGTCTGACAATTAAAATGACTTAAAGTCATTTTAAGTACTTAAACCGCAAGTGGTTATGATCCGAAGACAACCAGCCTCAATTGTCAGTAGCCATCTATTAAAGATATAGGAGAACATATGAAGCTTTTTTTAGAAAAAGCATTAGTTTTCCTTTCTGTTCTTCCCTTTCAGGTGCGGAGAACTTTATGGCCTTTATTCTTGCTATCTTTCTTTGGTGCAGTTAAGCAGTATATTCTATTTTGTTTACTTAACAATGAAAGATGGATTGCTGCACTTGATTTTTGGGTTGTGTTGAAAATGAGAAGCTTAGTTGTCTGCTTTGTCAGACTAATACAGACCCAACACATAGCAGCTGCTTCTAAGAAATTGTCTAAGGCTGCTTGTGGATTTACTTATAATTGCCTTTCAAGTCACATAAGACAGAACTTTCTTAGTTAAATCAGTGTTTGCTTAGGAACAGACAGAAAAACAGAAAATTGAAGCACAGAGAGTTGTGCAAGGTGCAGGAGTTCATGTCTTGTATGGAGCTTGAAATGTAGCCAGAACTGGTGAGCTGATACCTTCTAGGTGTTGTATTTTGCCTATCCTTATCAGTAAAGCTTGTGTAAGAATCAGAATGACAGTGTTTGAGGGACATTGAAGTAGATGATGAGCTTACCATTGTGGTAAAGAGTCTTTCTGCCCTCTGGCAAAAGAAATTGTTTTAGAAAAAGATAACCAAAAGACTATTAGTTTTTATAATTTTGCTTGGTGGTTGCGCCTAAACTGCAACATGTCCCTTTTCCAACATATCCCATGCTCCTCTTCTTTACTAGGTGTAGCCTCAGGCCTTGGAAGCAAGTGGAAATCCTTCTTGTTAGGTCAGTGCTCTGTGAGAGCACCTATGGTTATCACTGAATCCTTTTGTGAAGATGGGCCATCCCTCTGGCTCTGCAAAGGAGTCTGAAAACTAATTATGTTGTCCTGGGGTCTGTGCCAAGTCTTTAGCTGAGTTTTATGCTTCTTTGTGTTGCTGTTTGCTTGGTTAGTTTTTTTTTTAAGACATAAAAAGAAAGGGATTTAACAAAGCATAAATGTTGGAGATAAGTTCAGGTGACTTAAGATTTGTTTGCTGTAAGGAGGAACACTGCTTACACTTCAGTTTGAGTAATTACTTGGCTTTTAAGTGGTTGTAAGCTAGATATTTAAGAATGCTTGGATGACCGAGCTTTGTCTCATCCTGGTATTGCTTGCTAGACATTGCAGCAAACCTTACAAGTTTAAAATAACAAAACCAAATCTTTAGCAACAAAATACCTAAGGTAACACTGTACCACAAAAATAAATTAGGTAATTAAACCCCTGCTTTTACTTCACAACCATAAAGTACTCTAGGATTTTGAGTGATGCTTTAGGAAAGAGCTTTTGGAGCACCTTCACCTCTGTGTAAAATATAAGGGCTTTTGGTATATTCAAATGCCAGGCAGCTGAAACTGTCAGACATTGTGTGGCAGCTTTGAGCTAGCAAATATTTGTTTTCCAGTCCCATACAAGCTAGGCAGGGAATTTAATGGTAATTATAGAGCCGTTAGAGGTGCTGTGAGTGCACTGAGTTTTAACTAATTTTAAAAGCTATTTTAATAACTTTCAGTATGTTATTATGTGTAGGCCATGGCTGGCCGGGAGCCTGGCAGTCAGCCTGTTGACTGAGGCCTTTCATTTCCCAGCTGGCATCACGATAAATTTGTTGAAGGTGTTATGTTTTTATGCTTTGAGTGAATGTCTGTCTTAACATCTGCTTTCTGGGGTGAACACCATTTTGATTTTTGTCTTCAGTGCTAGAGAGCAGCATGTTTGGTTTCAGGCATGTTAAAAAATTGAGATTTGAGAAAAGCAGCATTGAATTTTCCAAGTGTGTTACTAGCATTGAAGTTGCCTGTGCTCAGCACACCTGAGCTACCCTCTTGTAATATATTTTCTTCTGTTTCCAGACTCCTGATTTGGATCCATTAGGGAGTGAGCAGTCACTGGAGGATGTGGAAAGTGTTAATGAGTTTGAGCCTTTATTTGCTGAGGAACAGCCTGAAGTTGAGAAGCCTGTTGCTGCAGTGCAGGTTTGATTTCTGTGTCTACACCTCATGCCAGAGGTTGCTGCGTCCTGGTTGCACAGCTAGCCTGCTAACATTTCTCCAATGCGATCATGGTTTACCTGCTCTTTGAAGAGATGCTTAAGCTTATCTGAACAGGACACTGAGAGAGGAGAAGTCCTTGCAGTCTTAGCTGATGGTTTAGAACACGGTTTGGCTCACGCTGCAGGCAGTGCCTGTTTAGCAGTGCCATGTTATCAGGGAAAAAAAGTCCACAGTGTTTTTGTGTGTGATCCATAGCCTAATGTTGCATCGCTGTGAACACAGCTTTAACTTGTGATATTGAGCCTTGGGGCACCAAACAGAAAGAAGTATAGGAAAAGTCCAGCTTCCTTGGCTTTTTGGAACGTTTTACAGCATGGCACTTCCTCTGCAAGAGCATAGTAATCTGTTTTTTGTACACATTGTTTGGAAACATTGCTCATTCTAGAATGTCACTATTCTGTAGCATAAGTTCCTACTACTTTTCAATCTCATCTTTTCAAAGCCCGTGTTTAACCTGGCAGAGTACCACCAGCTTTTCCTTGGCACTGAAAGAATCAGGGCTCCAGAGGTTGTTTTCCAGCCTTCCCTGATAGGAGAAGACCAGGCTGGTATAGCAGAAACCATGCAATATGTCCTTGAGAGGTGAGTTTACGAAGCTGCTTGGCACTCACTTCAGTCAAGCTAGTCTTGTTTTGATACCAGCTTTTGCAATTCTGGTCGCTTAGCAGTAATTGGAGACAATATGTTTGAATAGTTTTTCCGGTGGGTTTGAGCAGTGCAGGTTAGACGTGTCTTCCTGTTCCTTGTCTTAAGTCAGTGGGCTCCAAAGTTTTTTGATTGATTACCCATCAGTAAAAACTTTCTCAGTGTGTACCTCCAATATATGTGTATTTATAAATCACAAGTACTACTGAACTATTATGTACATTTTAAAGCGTACACAAAACCAGAAATTAAAGAAGGACAAGATAAAAGTGAAATAAACACTATTTTTGTTTATTTATTAATGGTACCAAAAAAGTCATCTTCCTGCACCCCAATGAATTGTCCACACCCCACTTTGGAGACCCCTGGTCCAAATTTGTTACAGAGGGAGACAGCAAACCCTCGTAATTATCCATCTAACGAAACAATGAGCTGGCAGCCTCTGCATTTCTGAGACCAAAATCGGGGGGGGGGGGGGGGTTAAGTTACGATATAAGCATGCTTGCTGGACAGCTGTTTCCAGACAACTTAGCACTTGCAAAATGTCCCTCCTGAGCTGTGGGAACATAGAGATTGCATTTTCTAAACTGTGAGAATTGCAGCTCTACTGAGCTGTCGATTTATGGCGCACAGTGCACAGAGTGTTTAAGGATTTTCTCCTGCCACCCCAGATTTTTCACAAAACAGATGAACACAGGTTTCCATGCTAGCAAAGTGAAGGAAGTTTCTGAAAATGAATCCTGAAGACAAGGTATTGGCATTCCTGATAGCTGTTCAGTTCCTAGGAGAGATGTCCTTGAGGGGGACTGAGACTAACATTTATTTTTGTTCCTGGTAGGTATCCAAAGGAACAACAAGCTATTCTTGTCCAGAATGTTTTTCTCACTGGTGGAAATACAATGTACCCTGGACTGAAAGCCAGGGTCCAGAAGGAGCTCCTTGAGATGAGACCATTCCAGTCATCTTTTCAGGTATGTGTATTGACGCAATGTTTGTGTGAACCGCGGTTCATCTGTGTTCAAAAGTAGTTTGGGTTGGGAGAGGTACAGAGCAGGTGGACTTGGAGCATGGGAATGGAGAGTGTTTTATGATGAGACGCTGCAAACGGCTTTTTTGACCTGAGAAGGCAGATGGTGGGAGGCCAGCCCTCCGGCATGCTGGACTTATGGCTTCTCAAAGTCACGTTGCTTGGGAATGCAGCTCAAAGCAGGAGGTAAACTCCATCTGAGGCAGAGAGTTGTGGCCAGCGGCTCAATGTCCTGTTGGAGACCAGGGATGAGTGGTGTCCCTCAGGGGTTGGTGTTGGGGCTGATCTTGTTAAACATCTTTGTTGGTGACATGGACAGCGGGACCGAGCACTCAGCAAAGTCTGCTGATGACACCAAGCTGTGTGGTTTGGTTGATACACTGGAGGGAAGGGATAAGATGCAGAGGGACCTGGACATGCTAGAGAGATGGCCAATGCCAACCTCATGAAGTTTAACCAAGCCAAGTGCAAGGTCTTATGCCTGGGTCGAGGCAATCCCAGGCACAGCTACAGGTTGGGTGGAGAAGGTCTTGGGGGTGTTGGGTGAGGAGAAACTGAACATGAGCCACTTCAGCATGCGCTTGACCCGTCTGCTGGGCTGAATTAAAAGGAGCATGACTGGCAGGTTGAAGGAGATGATCCTGCTCCTAACAAAGGTCACTTGTTCCAGATAGGAACTGTTCCAATCTGCACATTTCTACCCTAACATACCTGTGTATGCATGGTCCTTTAACTGAAGCAGGTTTTCCTTTTCCAAGACATCTACCCTGCTCTCTCAGATGTCTTCAGAAAGAGCACCTGTAGCTTTCCTTAACCTTTGCCTTAGGATCATAGATTCACAGACTGGTTTGGGTTAGAAGGAACCTTAAGATGATCCAGATCCAACCCTCCTGCCATGGGCAGTGATGCCTCACCCTAGACCCTTTTGCCCAAGGCTCTGTCCAGCTGGGCCTTGAATGCTGCCAGAGAACTGTGGGTTGGGAATGTGATATGCCCATTTGCTTTCTCTACCTGTAGGAGCAAAACAGCCTCATAGAGAATTGATCTCAAGGTCACAATACACTTCAAACCCATTCCTAATATTACTGTTACCCAGAGGCACTGAATAATCAGCTCAGACTTCTGAAATTCAGTGGTCTGTGTTGTATACCACTATACTCAGGTGTAGGAGAGAAAGGACTTTTCTCTCCTGTGTTAAATTGACATCAGTTTTGTTCTGTTTTCCTTCCATCCAGGTTCACCTTGCTTCCAATCCTGTTTTAGATGCCTGGTATGGAGCTAGGGATTGGGCAGTGGAATATATGACTCGTGATGAAGGCTGGATAACCAGAAAAGACTACGAAGAAAAAGGGGGGGAATACCTCAAGGAACACTGTGCTTCAAATGTTTATGTGCCTATTCGCCTTCCAAAGCAGGCCCCACGGACAACAGAGGCATTAGCACCTAGCAGAGTGCTGACGTCCAGCACAGGCAATGCCTGTGAGTAGGCCTAGCACCATGCCTTGGTCATGGACCCTTGGACAGAGATAGCAGCACTGGGAAAGGAAGTTACTGGTGTGCGGCATGAAGCACAGGCCTCAGCAGCTCAGAGAGCCCCAAGCATCTCATCCAGTCCCTTCAACAAGGAGGACGAGCCACACTGAGGTGTCAGCTGCGTGGTTCTGGCACTTGCAATGCTCAGCACAGAGCAAGGAGGAGCACCCCAGAAGTGCATTCCAGAGAGAAACACCATCTGAGAAACTTTCACAGCAAGACCCAGGTTGGGTTTTTTTTTTTGAGAGTCTGTTTTACAGCTTTTTTTTTTCAATTAAAATGTTCTGGTTTTATAGTGCTTTCATGGATGATTCAGAAGCTGTGCTCATCTCAAGCGGTCAGCCCAGCAGGCGCCCCCGTGCCTGACCCAGCAGGTGTTTGTCAGGACATGTGGTGCTGCTGAAGGCTGGTGGGGCTGAGCTATCCCTTCCTTGTGAGGCCTCCTGCACTCCTGTCTGCTTTGATTTCCTGCCTGCTACGGGCTTTCTGCTAAACCACCCCTGAATCAGCAGTGATTTCAGATACTTTTGACTTAAATTAAGTCAGTAATATTGATGCCTTGGTTGAAACTGTAGAGCTGGTCACGTGAAGCACTGTCCAGCTGTAACGACAGGATGCTCCATAAGGTGCAGGCCAAGTGCAGTTAGTCATTAAGTGGCTTTACAGAAGTGGTGGCTAAGCAAGGCAGTTCTTGACTGATGGGACTTTTAGATCAAAATTTGCATTAGCAATTAAGTAAACTTTCTGCTTTACTTTTTACTCTTACTGTTTCAGTGATTTGACTTCTTTACAGACCCCAGTAATATGGATGTATTTGATGGGTTGTACCTTGCAGGTTTGCAGCCAGGCCCCAGTCCTGCTGCACAGCATACTGGAGCTGAAATTTGACTGAGGATTCATTTAGTGCACTGAACAACTTGCTTGCTTTCCCAGAAGAATAATCAGTGCCAAATGGTGAGCTGAAATCTGAGCAGACTCTTATCACTTTGGCAAAAGCTGTGAACTGTTAGGCTGGACATGGGGAAAATACCCAGACCATAACTGTATAAAAAAGGTGAAGAGGTGGTGGCTTACTGTCTCCAGGGGCTGCAGAGCATCAACGTAAGTTGTCTCTCAGGAGGTATAGAGGTCTTGGTGGATGTCTGCCCTGGTCCTAATAGGCTGCTGGGCAGGGGCAGAGGAGGAGAAGGCCGCTTGCTACCTTCAGGTAACCTTAATTTTGGACTAATGATCCTACGTGGAGGCATACTAACCTTCAGGACTGTTACGACAATTCTGTGGGTAGTAAAGAATGTGGAAAAACATGCTGTACTGAAACACCAGCATGTCTTTGCTAATACCAGTGGCCTGGAGTATGTGATATCCCATTGTTGTTTGACCCCTTTCTGACACATCTTTAACTATTGCCACAAGTGGCTACTCGGGATACAGAAACCTGGATTCTTGGTGTTGGTTGCTGAATAGATCAGAGGGTGTTGTGCATAAAACTGTTCCAAAATGAAGGCCTAAAAGGGCATCTGTTGCAAATGGTTATATTACTTTTAAATGTTTAGCCAAATTGAGCCAATCACTTCACTTGCATTAACTCAAAGCAGAGCTGTATAATTCTGTACAGAGATGCCAGATCAGCTGCTTAAACAGCTTCAAGGAAGCATAATTGTATAATCTCCTAAATATTAGCTGTTAGTATGTTACTTTATCCCCACAATAGCTGGAGTAACTAATGAACTTGGACAATGTCATCAGTCACAGGCTGTTCTGAAGGAGCTGGTGGTCATTCAGTTCCTTGGATTAGCACCATGAGAAGCGTGAACATTGCAGGATTAATTTTAGCCATTTAAGTTCAGGTGCCCCATAGGATTTGCTACCTGAGCATTGGTGCTGGAAGGAGAAAAAAGGAAAGAGAAAGGAAGGGGGGAGAGGGAAGCAGGCCAGTTAAGGCCCATACTTGGCCTCTTTTTAATGGGACTTCAGGCTGTGTGAGGAGCAGTAGGAGGAGTTGTCACAAAGATTATTCTGTGGACAGAAAGCTTAAACTGATGCTGTGAGGGCCTTTGCCAGGTGATGGTAGGACTGCTGTTGAGTGAGCTGCTGTGCAGGCAGCTCCAGAGCCTGTGCTGTGTTTATTGTGGCTGGTGTCCTAAAAGCTGCAACGTGCAGAGGCCAGTTCAGAGATAGTCAAGTGGTTCCCATTTGAGCCTCAGTATATTAAGTTCAAAGCAACTTGTAACCTTATTATACAATTCACTTATCACCTAATTCAGGTCAAAGAATACAAAAGTACAAGTTTTCAGTTTAACAGCCATTGGTCTATTTATTCTGAAAGAGAGCTCAAATTGGGTTCCACCTTTCAGTGTCCCTAAGACCTGCTCTGAGTGGAAACACCACGTCAGAGAGAAGCCCTGGAGACTAAACATGGATCACATGTTTAATGTCCCAGATTTCCATTTGAGCTGCATTCGAACCTTGCTTTTGGTCTTCAAGGCTTCTTCTGTTTCCTGTGCCACAGCAACTTCAAACATGAACTGTTCTTTTCTAAATCTCCACTAGGACACCAAGATTAGAATGCTTTGCTCCAGTTACTAATCTCCAAAATACTTAATGTGCTGTGTAAGGCAGCATTCCAGAAGAAAGAAAAGATGCCCATGAACTGTCACTTGAAATTTAAGATTATCCCTCCAGAGACAGTCTGCAATGATCCTCTAGCAGTCATAAACCAGAAGTTTTGAAGCTTGTGTGGGATGAGCAGGGGAGGGGAGAATGCTGTAGCAGGTTTAACATTATCCCTAAAGTCATATGGTAGGATTTCTACTCTGGTTCCATACGTCAGGCATGAAGCAGCTGTGCTGATTCCCATTGCTCACTCCCACTGCTTCGTGCAGACAGCAAGCTGCTCCCCGAGCATCAGCCTCAACAAAGCTGCTTGGTTTTAACCCCTGACATGGTTTGCCAGTTCTTCAGGCTCCTTTTGCTCCCTCCTTCAGGATCTTTCCTTCCACTTTTTGAGCAGTGGGCTCAGTTTCCATTTCTTAATGCAGCAGAGACTGTGATGAGAGCACTGCACCCAGAGTCAGGAGACCTTCATCCATTTTTGTGTCTGTTCACTCGTGACAGATTGTGGCTGTTTGCTCTGACCTCAGTTCTGTGCCTCAGCATCTGGAACAGCAGAGCTAATCCAAGAGTGCTACTAGCAGAATGTGTAGTTAACTGTAGAGGACATTAAGGATGGTGGGAAGGCTGGAAAGGGGCTTGTGGGTTAGGAGGGGAGGTCAAGTAAAACGAAGGCGAATAGACCCATCTATGCTTAATGCACAATGGGCCAAGTGGAAGGTGTCTGAAGGTGGAAGAAGTGTATAGGAGGGTCAGTATCACTCCATGCAGGTGTGCTTTTCTTTTGGAGCAGTTGCTGTTGACCACTGTCAGAATATGAAGCAAGCTGGATTTATAGTCTGACTCAGAAGCTTGTACTCTCTGTTAAAATTCCTGGGTTTAAGCAGGGCTAGTTTTTTAGCTTTTTATTTATTTCAGGGCTGAGATGAAGTATGAAGCATCTTCTCTCTTCATCTGTCTGGAAATAAATGCGTTGTGCTGATGGGGACAGCATCTTTTATGTTGCCAGTGAGATTCTGTGAGGGCACCCAGTTCCCTGGACTCACAGTAGCCATAGTCAGGCTGTTTTACCAAGAGGAAGCTCGCCCCTGTGGAAGCTCAGTGCACTGTTTTCGCCGGGTCTGGCTCAACAAATGAGCCTTAAGAAGGTCACAAACTGCTTTCTTAGGTGTATCCACAGTGAAGTGTTCATGAGAACCCACCATGGGCACAGGAGGGCTGTCACAAGCTAGATGCCATCTGCCGGCAGTGCACTTGAGCTATTAGTGAGCTTCTTGGCATAAGACCTTGCATAGCTTCGCTAGCCCTGAGGAAAGCACCTCTGATTTCTGGATGTGGTAGGGTTGGGTTTTTTTGCATCTTTAAACTGAGTTTTGTCTCCCTCGGGTTAAGCATGTGCATTGCCATGGCTGGTGTAGCTTCTCAGGAAGCAATACAAGAACAAATACATTTCAAATCCTGATCCATAGATTGTCCTTTTTTTTTTTTTTTTTTTTACCACACTACAGCTTAGTTAAAATACACCCCACTCCTCCTCTCACCCCACATTCCTGCCACATACCTGGCATTCCTTCATCCTTAATGAAATGGAGTGGGGGATTTCGCCTTCCTGGAATTTTGGAGGAATACTAAGTGGATTTATCATGAAAAGCCCCATTTAGGATACAAATCTCCCTGAAAGAGAGTCCCCATATGGCAAACCTTGCTTTAGCTGGTAATGGTGAACAAAGTTTTTAGGTCCTCATTTAATAGCTATTTTGGAATATATATATAACATAACATTTTGCAATATATATATATAACATAAATGAAATATATGCCAATAGCAGCCTGGCACAGGGTGCCCAGAGGAGCTGTGGCTGCCCCATCCCTGGCAGTGTTCAAGGCCAGGTTGGACACAGGGGCTTGGAGCAAGCTGCTCTAGTGGAAGGTGTCCCTGCCCGTGGCAGGGATTGGAACTGAATGAGCTTTAAGGTCCTTTCCAACACAAACCATTCCATGGTTCATTGATTCTTCTTCAGCCCTGTTGTAAGTATTGCTGTTGATGGAGACCATGTTGGAACAAGCTCCTGAGAGTGTGGATGAAGCAGAAGAGGCTTAGATCCTTGCAAATACAGGTAGGGACACCAGCGGAACTCCTGGGCTGTTGGCACTTGAGATTTTACCAGTCACTACAGTGTGGACACACTCTCCATAGACAAGGCAAGGTTGTTAAGTCAAAATAGTTTTCTTCAGTCTCAGTCATTAATTGACACTAATAAACACAAAGCTGCCTGGTTGGATCAAACGTTCTTCTGGCCTTGTCCTGGTAGTGACCTCCAGGAGATGTTGAGGGAGAAGTATAAGAATAGGAGCAGTAGTGATCATGTGTGTAAACCAGGAAGAAGGTTGTAAATAATTCCAGTTGGTTAACACCGCATACCCAGGAAGGCATGTGAAATGTGAATGTGGTCCTCCTGGAGCCCCTGTTTCCATGGGATCCATCACTATTGCAGGACTTCGTTGTGTTGAATGGACAAGTTAAGGTATCCAAATTACAAGAGGTCCACATTGATGTGGATTTTTCAGTAGCAAAACCATGCTGGACTGTGACCATCCCTTCGAAGCACTGTGCTGTGGATATTGTGGGTCAGGTGTGATAGCCCCGAGCTGTGCTCCAGAAGGGCTGGGACAGGACTCTTGCAT